TTATTCCTTTCTTTTTGGTTTTGGAAAGTTTGATTATAATCTGTCTTGCTTGCTGACTTTTGAGATTTGTCTTGAATGGGATTCATTGAGTTTCTTGGCTGAATATCTTATATTTCATGATATTAAAAACATTTTCTGCTAACAAATTTTCAACAATTCTCTGTATGATTTTTTTGTTTGTTTGTTTTGGCTCTTCCTGCTCTGGAATTGTGATCACACATAATTTTTCCCCCTGATAGTGTCCCACAAAATACTTAGGCTTCTCTTATGTTTCTTCATTCCTTTGTCCATCTGTTCCTCATAGAAATTGGTGTCAAAGTATTTGTCTTCTAATTCACTGATCCATTTATCTATTGATTCAATTCTACTCTTTTGTCTTTCCAATGTGTAATCTATCTCTGAAGTTTTACTGTTAATCTCCTGGATTTTTAATTACTGTTTTTTTTTTTTTTTCATGTTTTCTTTTGTTTATTATGATTAGGGTGAAAGTTTACACAGCAAATTGGCAACAATTCTACAATTCATGTACATTTTGTTTTGTGGCGTTCATTGCAGTTCCCACAATGGAACAGCACTCTTCCCACTTTCTCCCCATTTTTTCCATTTCTCTTCACTTTTCTTTCTCTGGTTAAATGCTGCCTTTTTTATTTCATATGGTTGATTGCTCTAATGAGTGGAAAGCTTCTTGGTATTATTGTACATCTTATAAATTTATCATTTACCTTACAGTTGTCTCTATCTAACGAGTAAGCCTGTTTGTCTGTTTGTTTATTATTTTGAGTTTTGTTCCACAATTTCCCCCCACTTTCTCCAGGACTTCCCATTGTGATCCCTTTCAGAGTGGTCGCAAGTTGCTAAGCACCATCTAGTGCTATTCGTCTTAGAATCTTGGAGGCTTCAGTTCACATGTTCCATTAGTTCTGTGGACTAATTGTTTCTTTGCATCTTTGATTTTATTCACCATTGTTTGCTGCGGATGGGAAGAGACAAATATTTTCACATTAAATGGCCACTAACAAGCTTTTATGAACCTTCTCACCTGGTCACTACTAACCAAAGTACAATGAGGAACTTTGTCTTTGTGGAGTATGTTATTACAATTTACCTTTATAGGGTTCTGAGCCTCTATGCCTACTGACTCATTCTCTCAAGAATGACTAAGAAATTTTCACTTTTCCCCCATATGCTCTATTATGTTCATGGATATATTTAAAGTATATATAAATGTATATGTAGAAATAACCTCTGTCAAACCTATGTACATTCATGAATGTAGTCTTATTTTTTTCGACCCCTGTTCAGCTCCTGTTATCTATTTATGTACTCATAGATTATTGTCATTATATTTATTGCAGGACTGTGTTTGTAATAATATATACCTTTGTTGCCTTTAACTCTTGTGTTCCTTCTTGTGTTTTCCACCACCTTGATCATTAAGTGATGGCCTGACCCTTATTGTACAATTTCTTTCCATTTACTCAAGTTAATACGTGTATACCTTCAGTTAGTGATTTATCCTCCCTTCCTCTCACTCCAGTTAACCTTCAAAGAATAATTCTTTCTGTGTATAAAAATTTTCTTCACTTTTTACAATAGTTTATCATACAGTATTTGTCCTTTTGTGATTGAGTAATTTCACTCAGCATAATATGCTCTAGGTTCATCCATGTTATAAAGTGTTTCACAGATTCATTGTTATTCTTTAATGCTGCATAGTATTCCATTGTGTGCATGTACAATAATTTGTTTATATATTCATCCATTGGTGAGCACTTAGGTTGTTTCTATCTTCCAGCTGTTGTGAATAATGTTATAATGAACATAGATGTGCATGTATATGTATCATAGCTCTTATTTCTCTAAGATATATACTGTTTTGGTTATCGAGTGCTGCTCTGACAGGAATATATCACAAATTGAATGGCTTGAACAAACGGGAGTTTATTCTCTTACAGTTTGGAGGCTTTAAGTCCCAGTTCCATGTGCCAGGCTCTGCCTCAAACTTGGGCTTCAGCCCTGCCTCCTACTCACAACCCACTGAAGCAGGAGGCTTTTCTTCACTCAGCTACTGGCTGCTGAGGCTGATAAGCCAAAGTTTGACAAGTAAGAAGGCACAGTTCTGATGTTACCAAACCACATGGCAGGCCATTAATTAAAGTCCATTTAAAGTCCTAAGGTTGGCAGGGCATTGCAGGCTGCTGAACAATGATATGGCCACCTGCAAGGTTCAAACATGCCATAAGCTAGAGACTATTCCCTAAGACTTCTCCTTCTATACAGGAAGCAGACCACATCCCTATGCCAGCTACTTAGCTGCTTGTGGTAGATCCCACCATGGAGTTGATTGCCAGTCTCATCATGGGGAATAACTACCACCAGCTGCCCATCCACTCAACGAAGCCCAGCCAAGTTGACACACAACCTTAACTACCACATATACCTAGTAATAGAATTGCTGGATCATAAGGTATTTATATTTCCAACAATTTAAGGAAGGGCCATACCACTTTCCACAGAGATTGTACCATTTTACAGTCTCAACAGCAGTTTCTGAGTGTTCCAGTCTTTCCACATTCTCACCAGCATTTGTTGTTTTCTCATTTTTGAACTCTGTTAATAATGTGGAGGTGAGACGATATCTCATTGTTGTTTTGATAGGCATTTCTTTAATGGTAAATGATCATGAGCATTTTTTCATGTGTTTATTAGCTGCCTCAATGTCTTCTTTGTTAAAGTGTCTGTTCTTGTCCTCTTCCCACTTTAAAATTGCATTGTTAGTCTTTTTGTTGTTGAAGAATTTATGTTTTCTATAAAT